CGGAAGAGGTTTTGTTGAAAAAGAAAGCAGTTTAGATGCGGTTCTTTCGAAAAAAAAAACCCTTTTTTGGAAAGAACCCTTCTTCCTATAAAAAAGAGGCATGCAGGGTTCTTTCGAAAAAGGATTTTTTTTTTCAAAGGAACCAATCTAAAGTGCTTTATTTTTCGACAAAGCCTCTTCCAATAATGTGATCAGAAGAAGATATGCAAATTAGCTCTGAATTTGCATATCTTCTTTCGGCAGAAGAAAGCAGTTTAGACATAGTCTTAGAGAGGTGTCTGGGATTGGATGCAGCTCGGTTGAGCAGTGGTTGTACCGTGAAGAAAACTATTGTGTGGCCACAATGCAGCCCTGTTTGTTGCAACAGGGTCAGAGGAAGATGTCAAGGTTTGGTTAAAAAAAACCATATGGCCTTATTGTGTAGATGGAGCTCAAGCAGATGAAGTTTGCACAATGCCATCTGAAGCACATCTCCTAAGTCGCTCATAGAATCTTCCTCCATCCTGATCCAGATCTTCCTCCACCCTGCAACTAAAACTTCGTAACCTGTCTGGAAAAAATAAAGCACAAAGCTGCTCACTGCTTAAAGGCGATAATGAAATGAATACCCATGTCCATTGGTGCACGCACCACATTCTATTAATTCTACAATAGCATTTTCTGGCTTTATATAATACAGGAAATTGTACAAATTTTCATCCCTTTAGAAGATGAAGCTTATTCTAGATTATTACGGTTGCTAGAGGCAACTATTCTGCCAAAATTGTTTTCTTAAAATGTATTTGGCTACTTAAAATATTTTAATAGAACTGTGTATCGAGGATCCAATATCTCCTCCCTATAGCGCATATAATGGGCTATGTGGTAACGTCTTCTTTAGAACCACAGATAAATGGGGATTAAAAAAAATAGCTGCCCTAGTTCAGCTAACCCTAAACAAAAAAAATTGGGATCCAAGATCTGTCTAGTTTATTATAGAAAGAAAAGTTAACATTGTGTGTGTATGTGTGTGTGTGTGTGTGTCTGTCTTATAATGGAGTCAATTCAATGTAGTTGGCAACAGGAATAGAACAGCCTTACATCAGTGACATTTTCCAGTGAAACAAACCTGTCGTATAGAGAACATTTTTTAATTAACTCTATATCTCATGTGTCGGGGAACGTGAGCAAACTTCTTTATGGCTTTACTTTCGGCTCCAAAGTACATCCCAGTTTTTGCTCTCCAAGAATAGAACTGGGAGGTGAATGGCAGGGAAGGGTGGGTTTCTAAAAATGCATGTGAAATTAAATGCAAAACAACTTTGCAAGCATGCTACTGATTTTTATCATCTGCCTCTTTTCTGTGATGCAAAGCACAGTGCCTTAACCATTACACAGTCCTGAAAAATGTCATGTGTCATGTGCCAGAAAAAGAAGGGACATTTCTCCAGTGTCAGACCAGGCCTAACCCATACACTTTTTCCTGGCCAACAACCTAAAATTATTATTATTATTTGTTGTGGTTTTTCTATAGAGCTATAGATCAGCATGATGCTTTGCAGATAAGCACCAAAATGTTCTGTCCCCAAAGAGCTTACAGTCTGAGCTAACGCACAGGCAAAGAACTGGAGAAGGAGAAGGTCATATTTGGCTTGGCACATTTCTTGCTATTCCAAGGACTTGATTTACAATCTATGTTGCGTTTATGGTAGTGGCAGGAGAGGATTATTATCAGTTAAGCTGAAAAAAAGTGTGGGTTTAGTGGGGACTTGAAGAAGAAAAATCAGCCAGTTATAAATTAACCAGGTCAAGGAGCCAAATGTGGCCAAAGATCCCACAAATCTCATGCACATGTCTCAGTAGAGTGTTCTGTTAGGGCTATGCACTTGCTCCCACAGGTGCCCATAGGCTGCAGCTGTGCTGCAGAACTGAGAGATGATGTGATGAGCAGCATCCATCATATGAGAGATGAGCCTGGGAGCTTTAACTCAACTCCGAAGGTTTACAAAGTCCGAGAAAGCATAACGATGGATCCAGAGGGATTGTTAGCCCAAGCCTGCATAATAATCTCATCCAGGATCTCCCTAATGGACAATAGTAGAGATGTTTCTGAAAATAATGTGTAAGTCCAATGAACCAAAGAACAGCTAAGTGGGAGGATATATGATCCACTTCAGGGGCTTGGAATTGGGAATGGGAGAGTATTACTGAGTGGGTAGTAGTCTCTGAATTAAATACAAGGGTGTAGGGAGGATTATATTTATGGGTGAAGAATTATTTTATGGGACCAAATGCTTCTCCCATTTAAATTAATGGAGTTTTGCCACTAATATCAATAGGAACAGCATTCATTCATAATAAGAAAATAACGATAAGGAGCAAAAAGAGCCAGCATTCACAGCAGTCAAGACTTTTCTAAAGATATGCAGGTAAGCTCTATATAATATAGTCAAAGATAGGTTTTTACATAAAAGTCAGTTCTTCCACAAACTTTTGTGCAGCCAGGTGAACAAAAAGGAGGTGCAGACTTTTATTAAGTTGCACCAAAACATTTAAAATTAGTTTATTTAAAAATTTTAAGATTTGGACACTATAGTTTTTGTTTAGCTTTTGGGCCAAAGTCAGCAGCATAGAAAGTGGTTGAAGTGCTTTGAGATCTGTGGATGAAAAGCACTGCAAAAGTGTTAGGTATTAACATTATAAAGTGTAATTTACAGGTTATGTATGTGGGATTCTAAGTTGTTTTATTTTATGTCTTCCTTTGTTTCCTCAGCTTGTAAATTACACAGACTTAGTCCCAGGCATCAGAGTGTAATTTACACATCTTTGCTCAGTACCTCTGAATTAAGTCCAGTGTCTCTATCAGAGGGTAATTGAAAAGGCTATAAACAAGTTATGAAGAGATCATATGACACGGCACATCAACCAAAGAAGGGCCCTTACCGACTCCTTCTTGTGCTAGGTTTCGTTAGGGTTGGTTTAAATGATTGGCCCAAGTTACCTAACTCTCTGTGAAGATGGGAAATGGCTTTGTTTCACTACCCAAAGTTAGGCTATGAGCCATATTCAGAGGTTTGCTTGTCTGAGTCATTTCAGCCCATCAATATTTCAAATAAACTGGAGGAAGAACATCAGAGATCAATAAAAGTGAAGTACATAAAGCAGCCAGCAAGTAATATCTTTAAGGATTCCCCCTAGAGAACTACTGCACCAGAAACCTGTCACATAGTGCTGATGATCCTGACATCACCTGCAAGTTGTGGTGGTGGTACATGAAAAGGTGACTTCTAACCAACACTCCTGTTGCTGCTGGAAATGGGACTGGTAATTCAGTAGGTGACACAGACAATGGATTAGAGTGTTTGCAGGGGCACTCGGCTGCTGGTGCTGTTATTGTTTTTAGATGTGATTTAAAACCAGTGGTCCTACTGTGATCATCTGTATTAAAGGACACCTGGCCTTTTCCCTAACAGGTAGGTATCCTGAGCAAATTTTCAAAGCAGACTTTTAGGGTATGTCTATACTAGCCCCCTAGTTCGAACTAGGGAGGCTAATGTAGGCATTTGAAGTTGCAAATCAAGCCCCTAATGTAGGCATTCGAAGTTGCAAATCAAGCCCGGGATTTAAATATCCCGTGCTTGATTTGTATCTTCCCAGCTGGTCACCATTTTTTGAAATTTACAAGTCCAAACTAACCTTGCAGGAGGAATAACAGGTAATTCGATTTAGGGGCTTTAATTCGAAATACCGGGTCCCTGCCGCATGTAGACGCGGGCAGTTAGTCCGGACTTGTACATTTAAAAAATGGCGACCGGCCGGGAAGATGCAAATCAAATGTGGGATATTTAAATCCTGGGCTTGATTTGCAACTTCAAATGCCTACATTAGCCACCCTAGTTCAAACAAGGGGGCTAGTGTAGACATACCCTTATATTTTGCCTCCCTACATCCCCTGTTTGTTGTTTTTATTGCACATAGCGTTTTTCATTCCTGTCCTACACTAACAAGTATGGTAGCTCTTGTTAAATAACAAGTGTGTTTTGCCCCAGAGGTGGATGCATTTTACTGATGTATTTAAATGAACCCTTTCTGAGTCTGTAACAAACAGGGCCGTCAACATGGAAAATGTAGTTATTTTTATTGCCTAACTCTGCACTCCTTTCTCAGGGCATATTCCCAGTACAGGATCGGCCCCATTGTAATTAAACGTATATAAGAAGCTTTGCTCATCTGTGTAGTCTCTAGAAGTGACCTAGGTTCAGCTTAGAATAAAGTAAAGGACAAGCCAGATAGACGGGACTACCCATATGTTACTGATCAGAATGAAAAGCCTTCTCTTACTTAAATATTCAGTCTGACACAGAGTTTAGCACTGTCTAAGTGAGGCAGCATGACATGAATCTGTAGTTTTTGTTCTTGTGGTAGTTTCTACTAGAGCCTTTTATTTTCAGAAATGGTGAAATGTTGCATGATATTAAAATGCATGTTCCACTGGGCTTTCCATTTATTTTATTTTTTTAACAAACAGAGCTCAGTTTCACCATTGTTCAGTTTTTCTCTTATTGAAGCAAAATTTTAAGCCCTTCAGCTGCTCTGCCGAGATTTTTCTTTCATTACTTTATGGCAGATGAAAGTTAAAAGGCCCAATTATGAAAATTTTATTATGGCACCGAATATTATTAAAGCACTTAAGAGGTTATTAACACCTTTTATGTACCTCATTATTTAAAAGACTGCCATATTTAATCATTTTAGCACCATTAAATTGGCATTAACAACAACCCTATGACTTACACTTACAAAATGTCACAATTTGACAACACTAATGTAATAAAACATCTTGGAAAAAGCTGCAAGCTCCAGGTGAGTACTAATGCTGCCTGAAAACAGGAGTTTTTAATAGCTTCCTAGCTACAGGGAGGCAAAAGGGAACCAACAGGCATTGCAACTTTCATTGGCCTTTTCCTCGTTGAAGCATGTTTTTATGCCCAAATGCAATTGGATGCCCTTGATCTCCATTTAGGACCTGTTATTCACCAGTGGACACAGAAAAAACAACAGCAGAATAGTGTGGTTGCATTTAGTGCCCACCAAGGATAGAAACAGCTGGTCATGGCTGGATGCAGTGAAGCAGGCAACACTTGTCCTGTACATAGTTCTATCCATGAACAGGAGGAAGCCTAAATCTGGGCAAACCTGTTGACAATTCATTGCAACACTCTCCTCCGTTGGAGTTGACTTCTGCAGCTTTTAAATCTTGTGGGTTCGGAAGGGGAGGCAATAATGACACTACTTTGGCCTCCTATGGTGCCTCCCGTTGGAGACCTCAACACATTTTGCAAACATGCCGGAGCAGATTTTCTACTGAGCTCAGCTTTTGCAGGGTGCAGAAGGTGGGGGCGGTCGGAGAGCCTTTTCCAGGTCCTTCATCCTCTGCCTGGCTCCACACACACACACACACACACACACACAGCAGCCTGAGGGCTACTCTAAATTGCATCACCTGGAGATAACGGAGCCCTTGGGGATCATAGATAGTGAGAACTTATCACTCTTCAGCCACTTTCCACATCCCTCCTTGTGTTTCCCTGTTCCTGATACACCCCTTGCTCTAGGGACTGTGGCGGGGAGAGAGGGAGAGTAAGAGCTAGCCCTGGCAGCTCTATGCCCACTCATGACCACTCCACCTCAAGGATGTCCACAATAGGGGATTCTGGAGGTTGGCAGTGCCTGTGCAGATTAAAACAAGCAGAGTGGGGCCAAGAATCTAAGCCTAACTGTTTATTCACTTCCCATTGAGGTAGGAAATCAGCATTAGCCCCATTTTACAGATAGGTAAGCAGAGACACAGAGAAATTATTAGGTGATGTTTCCAGGGTGACACATGCAATTGGAGGCAAGGCCAGAGTGCAATTGCAGTTGCTCTGAATCTTGCCTATTAACCACAGAAGCACCCTTCCAAATGTCCTAGGTTCAGGCAAATTCTTGTTCAGTGTTTCTACAGTGCCTTTTACATTGGGCCTTTGGTTTGCTGAGGAATTGGGCACATTCTCAGCTCCAAGAGGGTATGTTTTGAACAAGTGGAGTGTGAATAGGGCTTATCTTTCAGAGAAATGGGGGACCCTTTTCAACTTCAGGTGGAAGCTTAAAAAGATCCCCAAAGTCAGAACCATTTTCCCTTTCATTGTGATTACCTCACCCATTCCTGAATGTGGCCACAGGACAGCCCTGTGCCAGAAGGTGAGCAGAAAGGGCAGTCAGGAGCAGCCCCTCTTCCTGTCTTAGTATCCAGATGGCTGGATCCTAGCATGAAGGGACAGAGTCTGAAACCATTGCCCAAACCGCTCCTCTCTCGGCGAGCATCCCCATCCATTTTGGTAGAAATACTAGTGGTGTGCTCCTCAGCATGACTCAAGGTGGCAGATTTTGACTCTAAGAGCCAGGCTGTCACTAAAATCTGGCTTGAGTAAGGGGCCATATGTATCTTCACTGCCCAAGAGAAAAGGTTGTGACCCACTGAGTCCCATTTCTTGCCCATCCACCCCTTGCTCAGGATGAGACAGGGCCATCCTTACTCATACACAGAATATGCAGCTGCAGAGGGCACCCCAAAATTTGGGGCACCACAGGGTGTTAATGTCCACCCATCCGCTTATTTCTGTCCCTGTTCTGTGGCGCTGCTTCCTCCTAAGAAGGTCTAGTCAATTTACAAGTGAAAAAAGCCTGCCAGAGCTACTAGCAGAACATTGAACCTGTGAAAGAGCCATTCATGTGGTAATGAAGCCATTTAACAGGCATTTGCCAACCCTAGATACAGACTATCAGTTTCTGAATTTACCGTGTTAGTCGACAGGACCTTAATTTAAAGTTTATTGTAAAAATATTTCATTAGCGTGTCACTGAAGATTATAAAGATCACAAAAAATCATCATTCTTGCCCCCTCAGGCTGTTATCGGGGATAAGGACGCCAGTTTAATAGTACTGCATAGGGCCCATAAATCCTAAGGATGAGCCTGGAATGAGGAGTAAGTTGTAGTGGCCTGTTCTTACATTTCTCAGTGTAGGGGCTGAGTCAGGGCTCTTCTCCGGCCCCTCTACTTGCTCATATACCTCACTGCTCACTGTGTTTTGTGTCTCCCTCCATGCTCCATGAGCAGAGGAGGTGAGCCTACTACAGTCACTAATTTAAAAGGCTAGATCATTAGCTCATGGTGTAGTAGCTCTTCATGACAGTGCTGTTCTAGAAATTCGGTAGCTCAGTCCTCGATGCAAACCAAAATGGTAGCCATTAGCCTGCCAGCAGGGAATACTGAGTGAGTACCTTCCTCAGGGGGCAGGAAGTAGAAAGCACCTTCTTCTTCTGTAGCCAACTCAGGCTGTAACAATCCAGCCTTGTGTTCATAGAATAAGGCACTAACATGCTCACACATCACTGAAGGGTTTCAGTGCTGTTGTTTTTCCTGTGGCCCTCATTTTGGATCTCTGTCCCCATTTTTGGCCGGGAGGCTGGCGTAAGATATGTTTGTTAGGAATTATGCTCTTAATATCAGACTCAACCAACTCATTATGAGCTAGATCAGGAAGGGGAAAGACACACACACACACACACACACACACACACACACACACACACACCAGCAGCAGCAGCAGAAGAGTGGCTAAGTGGAACACCTTTATTAGTATTTTTTAAATGCCCTGATAATTTCTTACAACTTAGTAAAGCCAGTGTGACTTGGGTACCTCAGACAAGGCCTGATCAAATTAGGAGCATTCCTATTCCATTTGATTCACCGTTTGGTGCCACATGCTGGCAAACAAAATCCCCACAATCCCAAGAGGAATGTACTATGGACTTAGGCATTTTTTTTAGCAGAGTCTTATATCTGCTTTTAAATCCCTGCTATAAATATGAAGACAGGACTGGGCAAATATAGCCTATCACTTACCTACCCTGGTTCCTACAAGATTCTCTTTCTTCAACAGGGTTGTCCAACACCTGCAGAGAAACAGGGAGAGTCCAGAATGCAATAGGTTTGAATCATGAACGGGAGCTCATTGACGTGTCTTTCAGATACAAATGCTCACATACAAGTGACTGCGTCTAAAAAAATCAGATCTGTGTACTAAACATGCTGATTCTGTTCCCTGAAAAGATGTCATCATTATCAAGGATATTAATTCAATCATTTGGGGTAAATGTCAGCTATTCCATTGCAGAGAGGTCAAGACATTCTGCTAAGTATGCTGTCTGTCCACAACAAAACTCACGGTGTTTATGTTAATCACTGGCTCTTGCCAATTTCCAAGGCCCCAGATGGAATGTATTAAGGCTTGGACTTTTTTTGCTGTTATTGCTGCATCCGTATCTGCAGCAGTTTAATGTTGATAGACGATTGTGTCTCTTACACGTATGACAGGAGCCCCTGGACTGAGAATCCTACACCTCATGTGACAGGCTAGAACACAGCGTCCCAAATTACTCAGCTGTCTAATATAAGCAGTGAAGGCTCTGACTAGTGAAAAGAATCTGGATTGAGTTATTATTTGAAAAGGATGGAGGGGGAGGGAAAGTGAAAGATTAATAACAATGCTAGGGCCCCACATAGACCCAGATCAGCCCCCAAAGCTATCGTAATCCCCATCTTCAGCCTTCCTCTGCATCCCTCTCTCTGCTGACTTCTTTAGTTCCTTCTTCCACTCTCAATGCCCTTTTGGTTCCTATTTTTAAACATTTTTATGGTCCCACTCTTGTCCTCATTTTCCCCCTTATTAAAAGACTGAGCAAATTTTTCAAAAGTGTCTAAAGGTGCGTCTATACCGCACCCTTAGCTCGAAATAAAGTACGCAAATTGCGTATCTTATTTCGATTCTATTTCAAAATAACACACTATTTTGAGACAACCCTTATCCCCCATGGAACGGTGTTTACAGGGATGCTGAAAGACATTGGGTAGCTATTTTGGGATACCTCTGGTATCTTGAAATAGCCTTGCAATGTAGACGTACCAAAAGTGACTTAGAAGCTTGAGCCTCATTTTCAGAAGCGACTAAGGCATTTATGTCTTGCTGGGACTCGGGCTGCCACCCCGCTTTGGTCAGTTCTTAGTCAAAGATGGGTGGATGTAATCAACAAGTCAGTTGAGGCTGTTGTTATTTTGTTGTTAAATATAAAGCTTGATTCTAGACCAGGCAATCCTACAAGTGAGATTGGCTCACCATCCTACTTTAACTCCACATTGTGTCACTTTGGAATGGAAATGGCTTAGTTGAAGCCAGAGAGTTCAGATATGCTGCTGCCAGATCGTTATGAAATATTCACAAGACATTTAATTTAACGTGGTGCTAATTGAATCCTGACAGCATAAGTTACTCCTGCTTGCAGCAATAGTCCATCACTTGTGGGCCAGCAACATTCTCCTCTTTTGATGCTGTCACAGAGAGTACCCTGCACAATATATTAGTGCCTGCAATAGCTCAGGGTCCAATCCCACTGGCCCCATACTGGAAGAACGCTCTGAAGTCAATGGGAATAAAACTGCACAATGTGAGGCAGGCTGGTCAGTGTTAGGGGAGTTGCTTAGGAGTTAGTAGCTTCACTTCCCTACTCCCCACAGAGCTCCTGTGTGATCTAGGGCAAGTCAGTTACCCCAGGTACATTAAAGCAGGGGTGAGGAACCTAAGGCCAAGGCCGGAGGCGGCCCCCGGCTTGCCTGGATCTGGCCTCTGAGGGTTGGGACTCCCCTCCTAGCCCGCTCCTTCACTCTTTCTCCCACCTAAACCCCACACTGCAAGCCTGCTTCCCAGCAGCCCCCTCCCTCCCACACATTGAACTCCTCATTTTGGCCCTACCCCAGATTTTGTGGGTCTACTAGCCTGGGCCTGTCAAGGCTCTGGTGTGCAAGGGGAACGTGGGGTCTGTCTTTCTCCTCAGTCAAAGAAAGGTTTTTTGGTTTTGTTTTGTTTTTTGCTTCTTACTTTTGTGAGGCCCCTGACTGATTTTTCTGAGAGTCAGCAGCAGCCCCCAACCCTGCATTAACGGTTACAATTTACTCAGACACTAAGTCAGGAGAAGTGTGCCAGCTAAATAGGGATTACAAGGTTGGGATCTATGTGGGTAAGTTTTTCAATATAACAAAGATGTGAGTTTATGCTAGTTTAGCTGCCATGATTAACCTCCAGCCCCATGCGAACACTGGTCTAAGAATGTTTGTTTCCATTTTAGTTTCTGTTACTTTGGAAAGAGCCACTCACCCTGGTATAAGAGTATCGAAAGGGGGTTCAATGTGTGTAACTAGATCAATACCACTGACAAACTTTCCCATGTAGACAAGGTCTCACTCCTCTGTCTGATTCTTTTCTAAACAAATGAACAACTATTTAGTGACTCTTCTAAATTTGTGTATTGTTTTGTATGCTCAGTTTTCCCCCGGGCATTAAACATCCCATCAGGAACTTTATTATTGTCTTGTTACTGTTTCTTCTTATTTTAGAACCAAGTTTGAAATATGACTTTAGAGCGTGTTGTCTGTATTCTTCAGAGGGAACTGGTCGTGAAATAACCTTGGCCACAAGCATTGGAGCCAACGACTCTTGGATTCTAATCTTGGCTCTGCATTGGCCCATTTGTGGTTTTGGATGAGTAGCTTGACTCCTCTGTTTTGGTTTCCCAGCTGCAGAATAACAATGCCTCCACGGTGCAAAGAGGGTGTGAAGAGGAATACAGGCTGAACCTCTCTAGTCTGGGATCCTTGGGACCTGACTGGTGCAGAATCAGAGAATTTACTGAACCAAGGGGTCAATATGTCTAGTGGCATTACCAACACTACCACTGCTTACTGGGCTCTTAGAAGACATTGAGGGGTAAATTAAAGCTAAATAACAGCACAGAACACTGAGAGCCAGGACTCATGGCTTCAAACAAACTTGATGAGACTGCAGGAAATTTGGCCACACTCATGATAAGTGGACATTTGTCTAACTAAAATCATGCGGGAGCACCAATGTGTCCAGACCAGAGAGTGCCGGACTAGAGAGGTTCAACCTGTAGTTCCATGTTAACACTGGAGAAGTGCCATGAAGAAATAAAGTGCTATGTGAATGCTAAATGCAATTACTGGCATGCACAAACTGCCAGCATGGATACAGAGACATAGGCCAACACATGGACATGCCACATTGCATGATTGTGTGTAATACCACTTCAATGTTTTCTGTTTCCTAAAGCATCCATGCACCACTGCCAGAGTCAGAATAATAGGAAAGTAGGGAAAACCCAGCCCTTACCCTGGGCTCAGGATACTGCAGAGCACTTATGCGGAGGTAGGGTCACAGGATGTGTGGGGAGTCCCCTCCGCTACCACCAGCACCACCTTTCACACTAGTCAAATGATGCCAATAAAAGAGCTCACTCCTTACGCATAACTGTACTGAGATCCCGCTACACAGCTTCTTCCCCCTTTCTGTGGAAGGCAAATGTGTAGAGAGCTTAAATGGGACCCTATGAACAGGTATGTCACCCCATGAGATCAGGACCATTTTTTAAGCGCCGTGTGTTACAAAAGTGACCCAGAACACTTTTAGCCTGGGAGAGCAAGCACCTGATCTGCCCGCCTGACCTATCCTTGGAGCAGAAGGGAATGAAAGGAGACCGGTGTTAATGAGACTGTAAGCGAAGATCAAAGATCTTACAGTCATTTACATGCATTAGTTCATTGAGTAAATGACCAGGTGACTGCAAGTTTTGACATGAGTACCAGCTGACTGTAAAAATGTATACAGTCCTAACATGACTGGAACTTGCAGAGATACAAGGTCACTCCTGGGTCCTGAAGGGCTGGCTCTCACTAGAAAGCATTGGCATTTCAGAACTTTACCTCACTCACACTATGTTAATTAGCACTGTTTGGTTGCTGTAGGCAGGAACCATCATGTCTGGCAATTTCCTCCTTGTGAAGAAAGGGGTATTTTTTACAAGTGACATCACTTGATGTGCAACCCTAGCAGAGACAAGGCACTGATGTTTTTACCTCAGTGTAATTAAAGCTCCAGTTGAGGGTTGTAGGATTGACCGCGACTGAGGTAAGAACTACCTGTGACTTGTCTCCACAAGGATTTTGCATTGAGAGCGCTAACTCAAACTGGCTCTCTTGCTGTAAAAATACAATTCTTTTGTAGTGTTGGGATTTTGCAGTTCCCAGAGAGTCAGGTGCTGGGCAGAATCAAGGGTCTTCGATACTTCAATTCAATTCAACAAGACTTTATTCAATGTGCACAAAGGGAGAGCCCCTGATACTAAAATCAGCCAAAGCCCCTCAAGCAAGGAGCCCCTCCCCTTGCTGTTTTATAGCACATGGCAGCTACAGGTTACATAACACAAACTTCTAAACCAATCAGATTCAACCTTTCCGTATATGGCTTTGTTTGTCACATGCTTGTACTTCTCCACTCCACATGTTGAGTTCACCCCCCCTCCCTTTGGCCTTTTCTAGGCTGTTCCTAGGGTGGTGAGCCACAGCATGCTTCTTTATGCATATCTACTTTCCAAACCACATTTTGTTTAAAATGAACATATGCATACCCTTCAGTAGCAATGGGAAAGTCTTAAAATATCTGATCAGCTAATCATCAGTCAACCCTGAGATTTACATTATTGGGTTAACTACAAGCAGTTGACATGATATTAAATGCAACTTATCTCAGTCAATACTTCCTCCAAAGTCATCTTAAACATCCTATTAGTTCATATGACTCCTTAACTCAAGGTCTTATTTTAGCATAGCCTAATTTGAAAACTCGACCTAAAGAAATGTCAGACACAATAGAGATATGTGCTAATACAAGAACCTCAGACAAATAGATCACCTACACTAGCTTTCTCCTCCCACTGTTGCTACCACTGAATGCTACTTTCCAAATGCCACTGCCTTTAGTGGGTTCAAATGAATTTGCATTTCCCCCTCCCTGCATAACATAGCTCCTTAAAAAAAGGGATGCATG